TTTCCTTGGTGTTGCTTAATTAAAAACTACATTCTTGAACACTAAACAAGGACCACACCCAAAAAGTTGTATGAGCTGTCTAGTGATTCAAAAATATGTGGTATCAACTTAAATTTTTTTTTTAATATTAACTTTTAGGGCCAGATTCGTTGGTATTTTCCAGCTGGTTTACCACACTCTTGCTTTTTGTTGCTCCAGAGTGCAGTGGACAGTTTCCACCAGCTTCTGACATCCACATATTCTTTCATGCACTCACTCCCCAGTTTATCCTGCCTTTATGATTTCCACTTTCTCTGTACGTGCACACATGTGCGCACACTCACACACACACATTTGTTTTCCCCTGTATGTGCACCTACCCTGGTTTCACCCTCATTCCCGTCATCCAAATATCCAAATTCCCTTGCACACCACACCTGAGTCTCCTCCTGTGTGCTCTGTTGACTAAATCTGATGCAATGTGAGTTGTTTTTGATATATTTTTTTTTTATTGTCTCTGTTACGTTTCATAATCAGACTGAAGCCACAGGCTGCCTTCAGGGAAAATAGCGACTCCCACTTTCATAATTACCACTGCCTCCCATTTTTCCCCAATGGGAGTGAAGCTGAGCTATGCTCAGGAACAGCACAGATTTACTACCACTGGGGGGTGGTGGCTGTTTTGAAGGAAGGCATCTATGATCTCAGTTCTATTGAGAATAATAGGAAATAGCAGCCATTTTGAAAGAGAGTAGTTCTTCATGGAATTTTCTTTATAAGAACATTGTCAGCACCTGTCAAAGAAGAAACTTTCATTTATAGACTTAGACTTTAAGGCCAGAAGGGAACATCATGATCATCTAGTCTAACCTCCTGCCCATTGCAGGCCACAGAACCTCAACCAACCACTCCTATAATATACCCATAACCTCAGGCTGAGTAACCGAAGTCCTCAAATCATGATTTTTAAGACTTCAAGTTACAGAGAATCCACTGTTTAGATTACTTTAAAGCTGCAAGTGGCCTGTACCCCATGCTGCAGAGGAAGGTGAAAAACCCCTAGGGTGTCTGCCAATCTGGCCAAAAATTACCATTAATCCTTGAAAATATATATGTATATTTTAGGTCTGACAACTAACCGCAGTTAACTCAAGCAATTCGCTAAAAAAAAAAATTAACTAGATTTGAAAAATTAATCACGATTAATTGCAGTTTTAATCACACTGTTAAACAATAATGGAATACCAGTGGAAAGTTGTTATAAATATTTTGGATGTTTTTCTACATTTTAAAATATATTGATTTAAATTACAACACAGAATACAAAGTGTACAATGCTCACTTGATATTATTATTTTCATTACAAATATTTACACTATAAAAAAATAAAATAAATAGTATTTTTCAATTCACCTCATACAAATACTGTAGTGAAATCTCTTTATCGTGAAAGTGTAACTTACAAAAGTGTAAGGCATGGCACTGTTGTAGCCAGCGTTGCAAGGTATTTACATGCCAGATATGCTAAACATTTGTATGCCCCTTCATGCTTTGGCCACCATTCCAGAGGATATGCTTCTGTCTTTGAATTCATACGATTGCTCGCTACATTGATAAGCTATTCTTTTTTGTTCCTAACTCTCAGCTCTGTATTTTTAAAAGGATCCATTTTTAAATTAAGTTTAACTCATAAACTATCATATTCACCTGTAAGTTCTCAGATAATTCATTCTTTGAGTAAAGAGTAAGTTCTGTAATGCTAGGGAGGATCTGCTTTATCCTAAATACTCAACAAAGTGGTTGACTCCAAGTTTTGAGTGCTCAGCTCAGCCTTAAATATGGAATTGTGAGCACTGTTTCCGTAACAACTCTTATTATTTATATGAATTTCCTATCCTTTTTTTAATCCTGCTAAATTCTTTGGCTTAATAATATCTTGTGGCAATGAGTTCCACAAGGTAATTGTGTAAAAGAATTTCCTTTTAATTGGTTTAAAAATGGCCAGCTCTCTATTTAATTGAATGCCCCTTTTGTTCTTGATTTGCAAAAAGATGAATAGAAGTTCTTGATCTACCTTCTCTATAACATTTATTATATTGTATACCTTTTATCATGCTGTCTCTCATTCTTTTCTTCCCTAAGAATAAAAAACAGTTCCAGCCTTTTCAATGCTTGGAAGCAGGGATGGGGATGGGTCGGAAGAGCTATATTTTGAGAAGGTGGCTGTGTTAAGGAGTTTGGCACTATGTAAAGGAGAGATTTGCAGGGAAGAGGGGGATCCCAATCTCTGTGTCTATGCACTTTAAAGGCTCCCCCTGCACTCCTACCTCTGTTGTCCAGGCAGTGTTGCCTAAGTTAGTGGAACTAAGGCAGCAGTGATAGGGGAATCTTTCAAGCATTGATACCTAAGTGCCATGTGGCCCTGGGACCTTGAGGGAGCAATGAGAGTTGAGGCCAAGTCATTTCTGTTGAGGATTCTTGACACATTAATCTCTCTCATACAAATGGCTCATTACATCCAATAACGTAGAATGCAAATTAACTGTTGAGGTAAGGTAATTGGTTGAATTGCCTGTGATGTCACAGCAACTGCAATTAAGTGACCTGAGCTGTTGACCTGTGCATTTTTAATTAATTTTAATGTGTATGCTAATTAAGGGATTTACATGTAAATTATCAGAAAATTAATTCTGTACTCAAAGAGCTGTGATTTTGGGGAAGGTATGCTGTTATCTTCATGTACAATGGAGGTTCAATCCTTAGTTTATGAGCAGAACTCAACTCAAATTTAACTATAGAACTGTGACCAGTACCTTTATAACATATTGTTTGACAGTATTTGTAACATTTTTTTAATTGTTAAGAATAGGAACATTTAGTAGAAGTTAGTTTTAGCAGAAAGTTGTGTGTGTATGTAATGTGTTGTTGCCTACTTATAGCCATAGTTGGCGCAGGGGAGACTATAGCTTCAGATTTTGATGGTGATAGATAAAGAGAAAGGCTGCATTAACTTGCTGAAAGCAACAACAACAAAAATCTTATTTTTACATAAGAAAGTATGATGTATACTTCCCTTTATTCCAATGAAGCCTTCATAGGCAGTATTCATATTTATAGACATCTGCAGTGTTGAGCTGTGTCCTGTTTCCTAAGATAGAAATTGCCATGTGTAAAGTGACATGATGGAAAATGATGTACATCCTATATAATCTTCTAGCAGCAGAATGAGACCAGTGGCACTTCCCCGAAAAAATAAATTACCCGAAATTTGCAGCACATTCATATTCAATTTCATCACAGCAGATGCTCATTAGTATGTTGTTATTAATTGGTATTCACTTTAGGTTTTGTTTAAAATGAAGATAATAATTAGGTTTTAATTACTGCATCTTTCCGGGGGGGGTGGGATTGGAGGGAGATGCCTCTCAAAACACTGAAGTACTTCCTGCTATACTAACTCAGTTATATGTAGGCCTGTAAACTATGAAAATGTCTCTTTAAGTGAGATGTGATTCTCTGACAAGAACTTAATTTTTTTATTAAGAACTTGTCCTAAATTGTCTGCTTTATGGACATATTGAATCAGATAATAATGTGAGCAACCATTCATTCTAATCAAATTACCAAAAAGATTTCTTACAAAAGTAACTCTCTCAAGTGGCTGATTAATGAAGTGGTGCCACTGTTTTGTATTAGAACTAATTGAAGTAATACAAATACATTATTTCTGTAGCCTGTAGAAATTATTTCTTTTGCAAAGCGGTGCAATGGAGTTGGCAAGTGTGTGTGTGTATGTGTATGTGTGTGTGTATTTCCCTTCCTGTTGTCTTATGGCTCATAGAAATAGTAGGGGAGCATAAAATAGAGAGAAATACATGGGGTGAGGAACTGAAATGGAGGCTTGGAAAGGCAAGGAGTGAGCGACCTAAGTTAGGTGCAGAAAGAAGGGTGGAAGTGAGGATGCAGAAAATATGTGGAAAATGGTCATTCATAAGGTGGGTGTATGGAACATTTCTAGGCAATTATAGTAGGCTTTGGGTTGCCACAGTTTAGGAGACTTCATCCACCTGAGAAATATAACAGTCGCCCAGAAATGCTCACCACATCTTACTCTGGTTATGAAGTAAAGTGTACACCAAATAAATAAATAAATGTAAACATGTCCATTTACAGGACATTAGACTTCAGTTAGTCAGAAAGCTCCAGTTGTGGCTAGTCTTTCTAAGCACTTTTATACTGGTTTTGCATGCTATATAAAAACATAAGGCAAATGCATTAAATTTAATATCAGAGTACTGTACTTAAGTGAAATAAACACAAGTTGACTAGAGCCAACAGTTCAGCCTACAACACTTTTTTTCAGTTGTGAGCTTCCTTCACATTTTTTTTTACTGTTGAACCTTTTTTTTCTACCTTGATCTCCCTGTTACCACTGATTCCCTATGCTACCTTGCCACTATGTGTATATTAATCCTTTCTCTGATCGCAAAACTGAGATATAAGGAAGGTAAGAGTCTTGTCCAAGATTTCACGATGAATCAACAGCAGAACCAAGATAAGAATTTGGGAATCTCTGGCTCTCAGTCCTATGCTATCACATTCAGTGTTATTTTTTTTCCTTACATATATTTGTTCATCTTTCTTTGTGGCCTGACCCAAAGCCCACTGAAATCCTTATGAGTTTTTTCCATTGGCTTCAATGGACTTTGTATCAAGCCTTAATTGAACAACTTGTTACCTGTGTGTGGACCCACTGATGGAGTGGCGTGGGAAAATTAACTTTGTGACTGTTCAGATTTTGCCTGTTCTGTTGATAAGTCTTCAATTCCCGGTCACACCTTTCATACGGATTAATTACTTGCTGGAGGAACAGGGGAAGATTTGAAATTGGCCTGTTGAAGCAAGAGAGAGAATAATTTTTAAAAGTACATTAACTCTAAACTTTTGTCTAAATGAAAGTTTGCTCACCAAACATGATGTTTTTTTCATTTCTTGATTTCCATTTGTTTGTGTTTTTCTGTTCCAAGATTGCTTTGCAGGAGTGAATAACTAACTGGAACTTGGATTATGTGCACTCAGCCTTGTTTCCATTCATTGCTGTACTTGAAAACAAAAAAAATCACATTTGGTTGCTTTGGTACACAGTGTTGTCTCTATATAGGTAGACTATCAAAGAAGCAGAGGCACCTTCCTAGGTGTAATTTTCAAGGGAAGAGGAAGCAATCAAACATTATAAAACAATATCTAAAATAGGGGGGGATAGATATGTTAAAATATCATCTTGTATTTTCCATCCAATCTCATATGATCCAAATGAACATGTAAGTGAAAATAAAGATCTTACAACAAATTAAAGAGTATCAAGATTTTTTATTACAAAAATTCACTATCAAAGCAAAAAGAGAAGATTTTGAAAATTAAAAAAAAACTGCAAGTGATCACAAATTAATAAATCAAAATCAAGA